GCCCTGCCGCTGTGCTATCGCTCCAGCTCCGACCCAAATCCAAATGAACAAAAGCAACCGGTGTTGGCGTGGATGTGGTGAGAAAGGGACCCTCCTTCACTGCTGGTGGGAATGGCGACTGGTTCAACCCTTTTGGAAACCAGTATGGATGATTTTCAAAAAATTAGATATTGAGCTCCCATTTTACCCAGAAGTACCAATTCTCGGAATATATCCCGGAGAGACAAAAAAGTGTAGTCGAAATGACATCTGCACTTCTATGTTCATTGCTGCACTGCTCAAAATAGCTGGAAAAAACTCAAGTGCCCGAGCAGAGATGACTGGTTAAAGAAATTTTGGTACATCTACACAATAGAGTACTATGCATCTGTTAGAAAAGATGAAGTCATGAAATTTACATACAAGTAGTACTACACGGATAGTATCATGCTAAGTGAAATGAGTCAGAAACAGAGGGACAGACATAGAAAGATTGCATTCATCTGGGGAACATAAAGTAAACAAAGGAGACTAACACCCAAGAATAGCCAAGAAAAGTACTAGCAGGTTCACTACATGGCTTGGAGATGACATGCTAGAGAAAAAGGCAGCTCAGATAGAGAAGGAAGCACCAAGTAAAGGGTGTTGGGAGGATCCTCCCAGGATGGAAGATACATGCTGAACGTAGACTATAGACCGAACATGATTGGCACTCAATGCCTCTTTTGCAAACCACAGCAACCAAAAGAAGAGAGAGAACAAAAGGGAATATCCTGCCAGAGAGGCGCGGTGGGATGGGGGGGGGGGGGGATAGGGAGAGATACTGGGATCATTGGTGGTGGAGAATGGGCACTGGTGGAGGGATGGATACTCGATCATTGTATAACTGAAACCCAAGCACAAAAATTTGGGTTTTTTTGTTTGTTTTTTTTATTTTATTGAATCACCGTGAAATAGTTACAAGATTTCATGTTTGGGTTACAGTCACACAATGATCAAACACCCATACCTCCACCAGTGCACATTCCCCACCACCAATATCAACGGTATACCACCCCTTTCTTCCCCCTGCCTCCATGGCAAACATGATTCCCTATAATCTCTTTCTACTTTTGGGCATTATGTTTTGCAATACAGACACTGAGAGCTTATCATGTTTGGTCCTTTATCCACTTTCTACACACATCTCTCATCCCGACCGATTCCTCCAGCCATCTTTTTCATAGCGATCCCTTCTCTATTTCAGCTGCCTTCTCCCCTTTGCTCATGAGGTAGGCTTCCAGCTATGGAGCAATCTATCTGTCCCGTGTATATACTATGCTTAGGTGTCAGCCTCATGTTATGTTGTTTTATACTCCACAAATGAGTGCAGTCCTTCTATGTCTGTCCCTCTCTTTCTGACTCATTTCACTTAGCATGATACTCTCCATGGCTATCCATTTATAAGCAAAGTTCATGACTTCATCTCTCCTGACAACTGCATAGTGTTCCATTGTGTAAATATACCAAAGTTTCTTTAACCAGTCATCTGCACTTAGGTTGTTTCCAGATTTTGGCTATTATGAACAGTGCTGCAATGAACATATATGTACAGATGTCATTTCTACTCTGCTTTTTTGCATCCTCGGGATATATTCCCAGAAGTTGTATTGTGGGGTCATATGGAAGCTCAATTTCTAGTTTTTGAAGAACTGTCCATATTGTTTTCCAGAAAGCCTGGACTAGTGGGCATTCCCACCAACAGTTTAAGAGTGTCCCTTTTTCCCCACATCCACGCCAGCACTGGTTGCTTTTGTTCTTTTGAATGTGTGCCAGTCTCTGTGGTGTGCGATGATCTCAATGTTGTTTTGATTTGTATCTCCCTGATGGCTAGCGATGTGGAGCAGCTTTTTCATATACCTTTTGGCCATTTGTATTTCTTTTTTGAGGGAACTTCTGTTCATTGCTTTTCCCCATTTTTTGATGTGGTTGAGGCTTTTTTTCTTGTAAAATTCTACTGGGCTGGAGCGATAGCACAGCGGATAAGGCATTTGCCTTGCAAGTGGCCAATATGGCCGACCCGAGTTCGATTCCTCCGCCCCTCTCAGAGAGCCCGGCAAGCTACCGAGAGTATCTTGCCCACACGGCAGAGCCTGGCAAGCTCCCCATGACGTATTCAATATGCCAAACACAGTAACAACAAGTCTCACGAAGGAGATGTTACTGGGCCTGCTCGAGCAAATCGATGAATAACGGGAGGACCGTGACCTTCCTTGACTACCATTTATTTCGGAGAGCCCGGCAAGCTACCGAGAGTATTCGATATGCCAAACACAGTAACAACAAAGTCTCCAATGGAGACGTTACTGGGCCCGCTCGAGCAAATCGACGATCAACGGGAGGGCCTTTACCTTTACCTTTTAAAATTCTACTAGTGTCTTATATATCCTGGATATTAATCCCTTATCAGATGGGTATTGGGTAAATATTCTTTGCCATTCTGTGGTCTCTTTCTGTATTTTGGTCACTGTTTCTTTTGAAGTGCAGAAGCTTCTTGGTTTGATGTAGTCCCATTTGTTTATGTTTGCTTCCACTTGCATGGTCAGTGCTGTTTCATCCTTAAAGATGCTTTTTGCTTCAATGTCGTGGTGAGTTCTTCCTACATTTTCCTCTATGTACCTTATGGATTCATGTCTGATATTGAGGTCTTTAATCCACTTTATATGAGTTTTGTACCTGGCATTAGACAGAGGTCACCGTTCATTTTTTGCACGTAGCTCTCCAGTTTTCCCAGCACCACTTGTTGAAGAGACTTTCCTTGTTCCACTTCATATTTCTTGCTCCTTTGTCAAAGATTAAGTGGTCATATATTTGGGGGTCTGTGAAAGGATATTCAACTCTGTTCCATTGATCTGCAGGTCTGTTTCTAGCCCAGTAACATGCTTTCTTAATTACTACTCATTTGTAGTACAGTTTGAAGTTGAGGAGGGTGATGCCACCCATCTTCTTTTTCCCAAGGATTGTTTTAGCTATTCATAGGGGGTTATTGTTCCATATGAATTTCAGGATTGTTTCAGCTATTCATAGGGGGTTATTGTTCCATATGAATTTCAGGATTTTTTGTCTATTTCTTTGAAAAATATCATGGGTATCCTGATAGGGGTCACATTGAATTTGTATAGTGCTTTGGGCAGTATTGTCATTTTGATAATGTTAATCCTCCCTATCCATGAGCAGGGGATTTGTCTCCATTTTTAGTGTCCTCTTTTATTTCTTGAAGTTGTGTTTTGTAATGTGCCTTGTATAGGTCCTTCACCTCTTTGGTTAAGCTGATTCCGAGGTACTTGATTTTCTGAGGTACTATTGTTAACGGGATTTTTTTAATGTCTATTTCTTCTCTTTTGTTATTTTTATATAAGAAAGCCATGGACTTTTGGATGTTGATTTTGTAGCCTGCCACTTTACTAAACTGACATATTGTTTCTAGGAGCTTTTCTGTAGAATCTTTAGGGTTTTCTAAGTATAGTATCATATCGTCTGCAAATAGTGATAGTTTGACCTCTTCCTTTCCTATCTGTATTCCCTTGATGCCTTTCTCTTGCCTAACTGCAATGGAAAGCACAAAAATGTTTAAGTCTACAACTGTACCCCTTGGTGTTTCACTAATAAAAATAAAAAAAATAGGATGACTTGTCAAATAGAATGACTTGATTAGAGCAATTTTATTTTTATTAGTCATTACACAGCATTTATGTTCTAGGACTTATTTTTCCCATCTAGAGTTTTCAAATATTTATTTTGTTTTTTGAGTTACATCAGGAATCACTATTGACGATGCTCAGGGAGTTCTGGGGACTGAACCCAAGTCTCCTATATACAAAGCATGTGTTCCAGTCCATTGAACATCCCTCTGGTTTGATTTTCAAATTTTAAGAGAATAATTTAATCAGCTTTAACCATGTACACAAAAGCTAAGAGTAAATATATTTTCCAAAAAAATCAAAACATATTAATTCAAATACTTGTATGAGAATATTCATATCAGATTTATTTGTAAGAGTTAAGAACTGGAAAAATTCAAATATTTACTTATTGGTTGAATGGGTTAACCGTAATATTCATACACTGAAATACTACCCAGCAATAAAAGGAATGAATCATCCAACAATATAATTGAATATCGAAACACTTTGCTAAGTAAAATAATTCAAACCTAACAGTAAATACCATATGATTCCATTCATATAAAATATTAGAGTATACAGTAAAACTAAGCTATGATGGAAAACTATCACAATAGTGGTCTCTTTGATGATAGTTAATATTGACTGTCATCAATAAGAAGGAGCAGAAGAGATTTCTAAAGTATGATAATGTTTATAGAATGTTAATATAATGGCTATAGACTGTGATAATGTTTACAATGTTATACGTGCCTTGTTACAAAGGCATACACATTTGTCAAAAAAACTGAATGTACACTTAAAATTTGTGCATGTATTTGTATGGAAATTTTACGCCTCCTCAAAATAATAATGAAACATTTACGTGGACATATACTGATGTCTGCTACTGACTTTGAAATGTATTTTAAAATATAACTTGTGAAGATATAGCTCGATGTTCTGAGTGCATTCAAAACAAGAGATCTGAGTCATCCCTGGAGCAGTACCAGAAGTGATCCTTGAGTACGGAGATGAGATAGATCCTGAACACTGCTGGTGTGACACCCTCCATCCCCCAAAAAACAAAAACAAAAAACCCCAATGGCTTGATGAATGATGTATGAAAGTACAGATATGTGGATAAAACAATAGAGCAAAAGATTAATGGTAGAAAATGGTAGACTCTAGAGATGGGTATATAGATGTTTATTATCTATTTCTTCATGTCACGTGTATGTTTAGAAAATTTAATAATGAAATGTTTAAAAAAATCTATAGTATTTAACTGATGAGACAAGATAAAGGAGCTATCCTGAGACTTAACCTCTCTGAGGTCCTTGCTATTCAGCCTTGCTAGTTGACTTTGGATGAACTGACCTCCGCTTCCAGTTCTTGTGTAAACTGGTAACTTCTTGGCCATATCAACAAGGATCTGCTTCTGGACCTCCGGCCTCTCTTCATTTTCATAGCGTTCCTTGTCTGTATAGGACAAATGGAACTGGAAAGCAGACATGAGAGACAATACTTTATATTCCAAACTACACACACACAAAAAAAAAACCATTAAAAAATAACAAATAGATGTAACTTACTCTTACAACCCAGGTACATATTTTTGCTTATTGGGTCACACCCGGTGATGCACAGGACTTACTCCTGGCTCTTCACTCAGGAATTATTTCTCGCGGTGCTCAGGGGACCATATGGGATGCTGGGAATTGAACCCATGTTGGCCATAAGCAAGGCAAACGCCCTATCTGCTGTGCTATCATTCCAGCCCCACCCAGGTACAAATTTAACATGTCTCTGGATACTTGTTTTAATATTCATGTTTTACTTTCATAACTCTGTGAGATAGGTAGATTTGCTTTATAAATGAAGAAAATAAGACTCCAGAGATCAAATACTTTTTCATGGTTATATAGACTTAATGGTCCTTTAAATCCATTGTACTGTATAATATTGCGTCTAGGTGTGTAACACCTTGCTATCAGAACATATTCATTAATTATTCTTCTTATTAAGTTGAATGCATTCTTACAGGTGGCACTCTTATAGAAACTAGATGATACTGTTTTTGACGTTGCATATGCTAAGCTTGCAAATGAGTAGAAATCTGAATATTCTCACTAATTCAGAATTTTTTATTCTGTATGGATCTGCTTGTACTACAGACTTTGCTAATCTGTAGAAGATATGCAAAGTTATGAAGACCTGAAAACTTTCTTCTATTTGCGTGAAATGGCATTTAGAGGTGAAAAAGAGAAGGTTCACTGATGTACCTGAGAACTTTTGATCCCTGAAACCACTGATTCTCATCTATCTCTTTTTACCTTTCTCCTCCACAGTATTTCTTTACTTCTCTTCCCTGTACTCTGGGGGCAAAGGTAATCTAGGCATTCCCCTCTTTAAACCATTGCATTTCCTCTTCCACTTACTCTAAATACCACATAGAAATGATATCATTCTGGATTTGTCCTTCTTGCTTATTTCATTTACCATGGTATCTTCCAGTTCCATCCAAATTTTATGATTTCATTATTCTTTACAGCTGCATATTATTTCATTGTGTATGTATTCCACATCTTCATGATGAACTGATCTGTTGTTTGTTAGGTCCCTAGGGACCCTGAGGGAGATTCCAGAGTTAAAACTCTATAAATTAGTAACTCTCCTTTTCCTGCCCCCTCCCTAGCAGAGCTTTAGAATGAAACTCTTCCCTGTTGGAACGTAAAGTCGGGAACCATTTGTTGGGCCCTCCTTATCTGTTACCTCCCTTAGGAACTCTTCCCTTATCCACCTCCGGAATGCAGGGCTGAGAATCAAAGGAAGCCAGGTGATAACCAAATGTCCCAGTTACATGATGCCCACTAGTCACAATGCCTATGTACGTAAATGCTGATCTTTGAATCTATAGGCTAAGGAGTGATGTACTGTTAAATGGATTGGTTAAGAAAGCATATGTTGTTATAAATCTATTGGCTATGAAATGCGCGGGCTTTGCTGTAACGGCCAGTGAAGGCCTATATAAGATCCCCTTTGAAGAAGTTTGGGGTCTTGCCTCACCTAACTGACCTGCGTGTCTGTGTAGGCGGCTTGACCCTGGCTAGCCAGTCTTACAATAAACCTTGCTTGCTGTTTGCAGTCTCTGGAGTCTCTTTGTTGTTAAAGGGAGATCACGATCCGCGCCCTAACATTGTTGAACATCTAAGAAGATTCCAAATCTTAATTATTGTATGAATACTGCAATGAATATGAGTGTGCATACATCCTTTTGAATGAATGGTTTTCTTTGCTGTGAGTAGGAACCCAAAAGTAGAATTGCTGGGCTGTAAGGTAGCTCAATTTTAATTTCAATGAGAATCCTCAGTACTGTTTTTCACTGGAGTTTAACCACTCAACATCCCCACCAGTAGTAGATAAGAGTTCCTTTTTCACCACATTCCCACCAACACAGTTTTCCCATTATTTTGATATGTGCCATTCTCACTGGTGTGAAACGGTATCTTGTATAATCTATGGGCGGCTAGTGGGAGAGCTCCCAGGGCTCCAGGCTAGGGGGAGAGCCTCTGCCTGCGTTCAGTGGGCCTGATTTTCCACAATGAAATCATCTTTTCTGAGTTTGTCTCTGTACTGTATAGGCTCAACAGCCTTCATCTGCACCTTTATCAGAACCAACATTCTGATACACTTTCAAATACCCCATTATGTTGTCTCCTGCATTTTCAAAGGCCAATTGTTTAGTCAAATGCTCCTGAATTTCCTTACCCTTAACCAGCATTTCAATGGCTTCCATCAACCTTGCTATGAAGTCTGCATAAGGCTCTGAAGCCCTCTGTACAATCTTTGTAAAACTTCCCTTTAATTCCACATCTGCATCAATCTTCTCCCAAGCACACAGGGCTGCCTCACGGACATGAGCAAAAACAGCACGTGGCAAGGTGACTTGCCTTTTTGGGTTGCACCATTTCCCTTCACCTATTAACATACCATAAATCAATTTAATCCCTGAAAATTTTTGTCCAGCATGGCCTAGGCCCTGAAGCTTCAACACTGAACCACATCCTCCACTGCATGTACAGAGAAGGGCTTAAGCACATCTTAGCAACCACATGAAAATCTTGAAGTACCCAATGAGACTTTTTACTCCAGTCTGTAAGATATTCCCTACAGTACGGACATATGGGTCTGTACAAGGCACAGGCCTTTTTGAAATGACTGAAAGAATCCATTCTTAACCCTTGATAAAATCGAGGCTGCTTCTTCTCCATCTGGGTTGGGCAATTGAGAGCACGTCCCAAGCAGTCTGGAGGCGGCTTGGCTGAGAAGCACGAAGCCTTCTCTATCTACTTCTCTAAGCCTTCTCACTCTCAAACTCAGAATCTGAGGAAGTAGTAGCAGACTCATAATCCGCATCACTTTCATCTGATGCACTGGAAATGAAGCTATATTCACCAATCTCAGAAATATTTTTACTATGAAAATCCTTTTGAGACTTAGATATGAGAGGAGCTGAGGCCTTAATATCCCCAATATTCTCCTCCTCCTCAACTATATTTTTCCAAAATAGAAGAACGGAATTAACAATCTCCCATATAACCCAGAATTCCATGGGGATCTTAGTCCTTTAAGGTCCCTAAGGACCCTGAGGGAGATTCCAGAGTTAAAACTATACTAATTAGTAACTCTCCCTTTCCTGTCCCCTCCCTAGTAGAGCTTTAGAGTGAAACCATTCCTTATTGGGATGTAAATTCTGAAACCATTTGATGACTCTTCCTTGCTGGGATGTAAATTCTAATACCATTTGTAGACTCTTCGCGGTTGGGATGGCCCTTCCTTATCTGTTACCTCTGTTAGGAACTTTTCCCTTATCTGCCTCCACCGAAATGCAGGAGCCATGAGCTGAGAATCAAAGGGGGCCAGGTGATAACCAAATGTCCGAGTTACCAGATGCTCACTAGCCACAATGCCTATGTACGTAAATGCTGATCTTTGAATCTATAGGCTAAGGAGTGATGTACTTTTAAATGGATTGGTTAAGAAAGTATATGTTGTTACAAATCTATTGGCTATGAAATGCGCGAGCTTTGCTGTAACAGCCAGTGAAGGCCTATATAAGATCCCCTTTGAAGAAGTTCAGGGTCTTGCCTGATGGCTTGACCCTGGCTAGCCAGCTAATAAACTACCTGCTTGCTAATTGCATTCCTGAGTGGTTCTTGCTTGCAGTCGGAGATCCAAAGTCATGCCCTAACAAGTCCCTTCCTTAGATGCCTTATAGACACTTTTTTAAATTTCTTTACAAATCTTGGTATCTAGAATTCCTTCATCCAGGACCATGGGTTTACCTCATTAACTACTTTAAAGCAGGACCAGAGCTGGTCTCTGGAAATGCAGTGTTCTGGGTTCCCTGTTCTTCGGGAGAGATACTGAATCAAATCCATAAATGGCTTGACCTGCTCAGTCTGGCTCAAGAAACTATGAAGACGCTTGGAAGGCCCAGAGTCAGCCCCATCTTAGTGGAGGATTGCTGCTAAGAGTCTAACTCCAAGCACACTAAAAAACCCTGTTCTCCCACTCACTTTTTAGAGTGAGGGTGCACCAAATGCTATTCTTACCCTTAGTTGGCAGCTCGTGCTCGCTCCAGGGATGCCAACTGTATAATCTCCAGGCGGCCAGAGGAGGCCCAGAAGGCTCATCCCCTCACAGCCTGGTTTTCGTGGCCTAGGGCTGCTCCGCCAGCCAGGACGGCCTGAGCCATGGGGAAGACAGGAGGAAACGAGGGCCAAGCCGTTTGATTGATCAGTTGCCGTTTATTCCATTTTCCCCACGTGCCTGTTCCAGTCTCTCTGAGCCTCCCATTCTAGTCTCACACTGCTCCTCATTCCAGTCTCCTTCTGTCTCTCCCGCTCATCTCTCTGTGCTCCATCTCGCAGCCTGGGCTATCTCTCTCCATGTGCCTGCTCCTCATTCTTCTACAGTCTTCTCTTTCTGTCCTCCTTTTTAGTCTCCCCATGCCCCATCTTGCTGCCCTGGTCTCTCATCTCTCCCTCCAACTCTCTCTTCTCTCCACCCCCAGTACTCTGGGCTCATGCTACACCCAGTCAGGTAGCAAAATCAACATAAGAAAGGCCTTCCTGACAGCCCATCAGGCTCAAGGGCAGAAACACCACCTAGGGGTGTTCCTCTTCTCCTTAGTCCAATAACTTAATTAACATCTTAAGTAACATCTTAATTCTACTTCTTAATATTAGTTATTTTTGTATGGATACAGTAAGAGATACACTGATTTCTCTCTCCTCCTGGGATGCCCTGCCACAGTGGCAGGGGGGGATGGGGGGATGGGAGGATAGGGGGGAGGGATATTATCCTGGTGGTGGAAAATGGGCACTGGTGGAGGGATGGGTATTTGATCGTGGTATGACCGAGATCCAAGCACAAAAATTTGTAAATCTACAACTGTACCTCATGGTGTTTCACTAATAAAAAAAAAAAAAAGAT